ACAATACACATGGATAGTATATGAAGAAGGAGACAGCAGAAACCCATAAGACTGCAAGGTGATTTCACAGCATCATAGCATCACAGAATGGTTAGGGTTGGATTTCCACTGCCAATATGAAGAAACTGCAGCAAAAATGGGAATTTATGGTATAATTTACTCAGACACTGTAAGTGTCAGTTAATGGCACTGACTCTGTCTCCTGTTTCACTAGAAACTGGTGGAAGAAACAACCTTTTTTAACTTAAACTAAACTGGCTACTTTAAAAATGAATGCCATCATACTTTCACAAATTAGAAAATAAATATATTTGGAGGCATGTGCAAGGGATGAGTGTCTCACTAAAACTTTAGAAATACCACATAATGACAAACTTTGCAATTCAATTGTGCATAATGTGCAGTGAAGCACAATGCTTAACATTTTCTTCATCGAGCAAATCCTTTTGCTCTAGAGAAAGGTGTGACATCTGACACATCTCTCAGGGCAAATTCAATGGTGTTCACATTGTTCTCTGCCATGGCCTTATAGCTAACTCTTCCACAGTTCATATTCTGTCTAATTTCTGAATCACAACTGACTTTGCAGCCAATCTGTTTTTATTAGTTTCTGACAGATATTTAGGCTGATGTATAATTCTATTCCTATAAAAAGGCTATTTCCTCTACAGGTATCTGAATTTTATCAAATGTATCATTTATCAAATGATGTTCCTGATAAAGGCATTGCTTTTCTTTTTTTAACAGCAGTCTGCTTGAAAGAGATGATCACTATTACAGTTTTGGTTTTTAATTCCTGAAAATAGTATGTACTGTTCCATATAAATTCATATATAATGCCACATTTTCATATGAACACACTCAAGTTGCATCTGTATTGCAAATGTATTCATGTAAAGCAGGCATTTACACAAGCAAAATAGATAAAGGCCTGCATGTATTTAAGACATTTTGGCATAACTTAGTTCGATTCTCCATATTTAAAAATGTAGCCTTATGTATCCTAAATATAACGCAGTTTATTATGACTTTAAAACCTGGGACATTTGTTGTGAAGGCTTTGTGCAGTACAGGAGGAGAAATAGATATGGAGCCCCAAGAATTCCACTTTGACGATCAGGGTTGTGAAAAGCAGTGCACACGTTATAGGTGAAACATGAGCTGCAGGTAGTTACTCTGTTTCTGGGTAATTGCTGTCAGTATCTGGGTATATCAAGCCTTTCTGACCTCTGTGGCACTTCCCTGAGGTAATTCTAAATTTCACAAAGACATAAGCAAAGAACAGAGAGAGCCTAACACAAAGCTAAGCTTCCAATTGCCCTAATATCAGTCCAATCACTACTGTTTCACTATGACTAGCATATTCACCTTCTTCAGAGCATTCAACAATACAAATATCAGTAAGAATAACATATATAACAGTAAGCAACTTTATTCCTATTCCCTATGCAGTTTCTTGCTGGATCAGTGCTGAGCAACTGCCTGGGTCTCTCCCACCTTTGCTGGACTGCAGCTTCTCATCACAGTCTTTTAAGTCAGTTGCTCCCCTGAAACTAGGGATGTAACTTGTTTTCAAGGCTTCTAAATAACAACCTCAACCTCTTCAAGTATCTTGCTGTTATGACAGAGCAAATCTTACACAGAATTAGCAATAAAGCCATGTTCAATCTGATTTTGCTCCTTGACGTGGTAAAAATATATTATACATATGCAAAACTGAATCATGACAGATTGCATCCACAGCAGAGAAATCAACTCTCACAAATCAGAGCTATTCTCCTCAAAAATAAATAATTGCATTGGAATAACAGGTTTTACCATTAGTAAACCACTGAAACCACATGCTGGGATGTGTTGATTACTGGGTAAATACACCCATCCCTTGTTGCTTATTGAATGAATAAACCTTTGAGACATGTGACAGTATGCAGCTAGAATCTGATGACACAACATTTAGAAATTTTTGATCAACACTCTGAAAATTAAAATAATTAATACTTGGTAATCATTAGCTAATTGAGTCTTATAGTGCTCTCAAGTACCTAAGCATTACTGTTTATACTCCACAGATACTGACCCTGCATTTAGGTATGTATCACACAGCCAGAAGGAGCTGATACCAGAGCCATAGGCCATGTTCAGAAGTTCCTGACTCATAGTGCAGTTTCATGTTACAGTTTAATCCATGTAACAGCTCCCTGACAAGGGAGGCCTATTCCCTATGTCATCCATGCTCATGCAGCTTGTCCTGCCCTAGGTTTGACAATCATGCAACTACACAGCCAAGCCACATTATGCTCAGTATGAAACACCCTGAACCTCGTGCATATATATGAGGATCCTTCTTCTCAGAAAGACTGAATTCACTGCACATGCAGTGTGGGTATCTGTGTACACACCCTTGCTCAGAACACATGCTGCCTAGAAAGCAGTTACCTCACACTTACGTTGTAAAATGCCTGTAAACTGACAGGATTTCTTTAATCCAGCATTATTAGTAAAAAGTTTCTTGTCTGCTTTGCTTTCTTTAAGCTTTTTGAGTTGTTAAAGTGATGCTACCATGGCTAACCTTCAACTGCTGTTTGTACTGTTTCACAGTGAGAGTAATAGAGTTCACATTTGTCAATAACCATTGTTTTTCATGAAACATGATAGCTTTTTCTTGCTCTTTCAGGGAAAACATTTTAAAATATATTTTATTCACTGAAGTATTGACTTTTCTTTCATTTTGACATAATTATATATATATGTATATATATGTTAAATTTCACTAAAAACAGAAGAACAGTCTGCATTCCAAAAGTTAGCTCCTAACTAACTACTGATAAAATTGTATGCCTACTAGTAAGGTTACAGTCAGGCTCATCCCCTCAGCTCTGGTATTCTTAGCTCTGAGGTCACAGTCACAGTCAGTGACTCAGCCAGTCAGCGCAATTCTTAAACATTTTGTTTTCCATGTTCCTTCTATTGCTTGAGATAAGCTTATTAAAGAAGTATAGTTGGTCATCTGGATGCAAGCAAGAATACCATCTCCACGATCTTGTGTTAGAGATAACATGCCAACTCTACTACAAATACCAATTCTAGTTTTCCTGTGCCTATAGTTTTTCAGACCTTTCTATGGCTTTCTTTGGAGAAATTGCTTAATCTACAGAGCAATCACTGTCAGTGGGCTGCCAAGTATAACTTTCCTGGGTTATTGGGATGGCTGCAGCTCTTATTCTGCATACTCTGTATTTTCATGTATCTGCAACCCATGCACACGTCTCCAACATTTCAGGAGGCTGTTTTATCTCTAACCCTCTTCCTCTTTTCTCTTTTTCACCTTGTATATCACCCATGAGCTTGTCATGCCATCTGCCTTTCTCTATTTCTCCTTTTGTTGCCCTCTCTCATATACTCTGACGTATCTGAACCTCTTTGGGGTTTCTGACACCTCTGTTCTCCCACCATTATTCATATGATCATCTCCCCTCATAAGATTTCTTCCTTGTACAATACTCTTACATATATCTCTAGCATTTTAATTTCAGGCCTTCCTCTCTTACCTTCAACTTTCTGTCTGGACTCCGGATTGGACTCCTTCCCATCCTGGTTTCAGAAGATACCATGAGTAGTTCTGAAAGAAAAAAAAAATCCTGGTAGAGATCATGAAAGACAAAGTATTATGCTCCACAGCTATCCAATCCAGCACCTTCTTCAGGAATAATTTTATTGCTATTAATTATAAAGTCCTTTTGAAAAAAAAAATAGATAAAAATATTTTAGATACCATTCCAGTAGAGTAGACTTTACAACGATAATTTAGATAATTGCGGCAACAGTCTCTGAACTTTGTTAATGCCTCATAAAAAGCCCTTGGTCAAAAAAATTTACTGGCATGACTTTACAAACCCTTTTTATTTTTCTTTCATAGTGATTTCTAGAACTTAATGCATGTGAGAAGCAAACAAAAAATATGGAGCGAAATTAAGGCAGTCTGAGCACTTCTACTGGTCATTCGAAATCTTTTATAAATGGCATGCTCAGTTTTCAAGTTAATGCTGAAATTCCGAGTTTCAACTTCTGTTTTTTTAACAACTGTATTACCTTATAGATGTCACTGTACAGTATGGAGGTATGTTTTGTAATCTTTATGATAAAAACATCTCTTGCCAACCTAAACTCCAGCTTAGATTCTGTACCTGTTACATAACAAATATTAGGAGGGATTAATTACGCTCATTTTTCATACTCTCCTGATGCCGAATTAAGGGTATTACTCATCCACATAGCATGAAGTTGTTTGCACTGAGTAACAGAGAACCAAAGAGAAAACTTTGCTAGCATGTTCAGCTATGGGAGTACTGAGCTGTCCAAAAGAATTTTCTTATAACACAGAAGTAGACTTTGGTTTCTGGAATGCTTACTGTTGATGGCAGTTTCCACTTCAGGTTTTGTGAATTTTGTTGTCACCTAGTTCTCAAGAGAAAATGTTCACAGTCCTTTGAGATTGTAGACCTCTTTCTTTTGCGGCTAGAAGCTTATCCTGGTATGACAACCCAAGGTGTACTAACAGAATTTAAATGCTGACCTCTGTATGAAAACGAGCAATCAGCAGGCTGAAACTGGAATGGGGACACTTTCATAGGATGCATACATCATGCTGACAAGATAAAACAACAGTCAATTACTAATTTTAACCTGTATAAAAAAGAAAAGACATTTCTAAGGAAGTGGTCCTGACTGAAGTACAAAAATGAAGCAATTAGAAGCAAGAATGAGTGATGAACACAAACATTTTTGACAGCGTTTTTAAATGCTGCATTAAGTCAAGGTGGACTTGTAGAACCTGCAAATAACTTGATGAAAGTTAAAGTTCCACAGAGAACAGCTTTGATTCTGTAGAAAGTGCATGTTTATGGTGAGAAATCAGTTTAAAGTGCCTCACTTGATGTCCATATTACCATAAAGCTTATGAAAAAAGTGTTTTCAACGTCATGTTTAGAGAAGGCGGAGCGATGGCAGCGCACAGAAAAGCGGTCGCCGTGCTCCTTCTGCAGGCGTTCGGGAACACGGCAGCCGCGCGGGAACCCGAGGCACGAAGGAAGGCCGCGTGGAGAGTGTGTGTCATCACGCAGAGACAGCGAGTGCAAAGCACGTGCAATCGCAAGGCCGCGTAACTAGCGGCGAGCTGAGATCTCAGATACGCGGCAGAGGAAGTAAAACGAGTAAGGGCGAACTCAAAATGGGATACCCCGCCTTTTACCTGGGCGCCCCGCCAAGGGCCAGTAAAGCCGCGACCCAGGCGCCTACGCGGAGAAAACGGAACGCGGCGACACCCAGAGCCACG